TCGAATCCCAACTTACTTCCTGTTTGCCCCTAATTTATATAGTAATATTCTTAGCTATACCTTAACCAATCATTCTACTGAAATTTAACTAACCAATCCTAACATATTGTAACATGGTTAGCTAACCAATTATATCCCACCACCTTAATTAGTTTACATCCAGCAAAATTAATTATACAGCAGACAGAAACAATCACAGAACCAGACAGAGACCATGTCAATAAACAATAGCAAAGTGGGAACTATAATGACAAAACAATACAGAAATGAGGATTTCACAACTACATCCATAAAGACATAAGGGTTTCCCAGCTGTGTCTGTTGATAAGTGAGTTCTTACCAGACAGAAAACTATCAACCTAAATTTCCTTTTACATCTTCTAGGCTCTTCCCTTTCTCTGGAGGTGATAGATCGGATCACCTTCCGAACAGCCCCATATTGACTAGTTTGGAATGTGAGGATGTGACCGTTCGCTTCCCAGCTTATGGCTGCCTCTGCTGCTTAGCCAAAGGCATTGGCCTAAGAACAGGGCCTCAGACTGTCACAGTCTGTATACCTCTTCTTGTATACCTCTATTACTAGCTAAATGATAAACATATACCTTCATTCTTAGAGTATAGGCCTTTACAGACAGGCCTGAATATCTATATCCTAACACCTTGTCTCTCTAATACACTGGGACTGACATGGTTACAACTACACCAGTTCTACCGTCATCCCAAGGAACTTCTCCTGAAAATGCCTCCGTTTTTCATTTAATCAAACAGAGGTCTGAGATATTTATAGCTACAAAATATTTGTTCAAGACATATTACTACACCAAGCAGAATTTGATCTGTTTATACCAGGAACATACAAAATAGTGAAATGGATGTTCAGTGCGATGAACAGTGCCTAGAGTGAAGAGAAAAGTCCATTGAGTGTAGAATCTATCAAAGTTGTTCTTAGCTCAAAGTGAATATTAAAGACACTTTTTCAATGTTTCATGATAAGCACATTCAGAAAGCTAAGTTAGTGGAAAAAATCCTCCACTTGACGAAATAGACATCGATCACTGCTGAGCGAAGAGCTGAAGTAGCAACATAATCACATTTTTTTTGTAAAATGTTCTTTTGAAATTAGTATTTTGTAACCCCTACCAATGTCACAAGAATGTCTTGAATTTGATTTTGAAAATACGGCTACTTTACCTATTCTCCACCTTTCTAATTTTTCTGAATCATATTAGATTACTTTCATAAGGTTCTTTGCTGTCTTTTACAAGCCCAGAATGGAAGGATGTGGAAGGTCACATGGTGAATCTTAGTGTTAAAAAAGGTTGGACCATCTGCTCCAGTTCTCTTAGGCACTTATACGGCTTCCATCACTGCAGTATCTGAGCACCTTACAATCTTTTAATATATTTATCATCGTAACACCCCTGAGAAGGAGAGACGTGTTATTATCCCCATTTTACAAATCGAGTATTGAGGCACAGAAAGGCTAGGACCCAGATCTCAAAGGTATTTAGGCTCCTAACTTCCACTGATTTCAATGCAAATTAGGAAACTAAATGCCTCTGAGGATCTAGGCCTAAGTGATTTTCCCAAGATAATACAGGAAGTCTGTGGCAGAGTAGAGACACTTTCAAAAATGTTATCCTGGAATTTTTGCACATCTTAAAAAATTGGTTTCTATAGGATCACTTTAATTTTGACTGTATAATTCTGAGCAGAAATCAAGACCTTCATAAGCCCACAGTAGCAGCAAAATCCATCTCAGATCAATGACACAAGAATGAAGCGCTTCACTTCTGGCCATTCAGTGACTTTTCAGAACAGACATACGTTCTAGTACACTATTAGGAGTTCACTTACTTTGTCAGTTTCTATGGTGCTGCTAGAAGCAATCAGGAAGTGAAAACATGAACAAGAAGAGGAAATACACCTTACAACATAAACAGGAATCAAATGACAGTAAAGAATTTCTGTAAAACTGTATTACAGTTTTGTATTTTATCATCTTTTTGTTAAAAAAATTGTTAAAATATACCTACCCTAAGTGAATTTGAAGCATAACAATGCATACTTTTCAGGTATCACTCGTTTTGAAGGACTTCATTCATTTTAGTCCAAAAATTATTGACATTCCAGACAAAATTGATATCTTCTCATATTTATTATTGAAAATCATTTACAAACATCGCCAAAGATTTCCAAATTTTCACATTTAAACATTTTTTTCTAAATTTCAAATGCTACAAAATGACTATTTTTTTCCATAAGAAAAATAATCCAATTTTTAAACCGCTATAAAGCTGCACTTTCCGAAATTCAAAAAAATTATTAAAATGTTGTCATTTGTAAATTTTGAAGAAAAAAGGACAGTTTTCCTGAAAATATTCCCATTTTCCAGCCATCTCTACTATTTACATCCAAAATAGATAATCATGAAATTGAGGTGGGGAAACAAAAAGCTTACATTAAAAGAATTAATCCTATAGTTTATTAAGTTTACTGGATGAATTTGTTTTGTCTCCCTCATTTTGGGTCTTTGTAACACATTGCAGAACATATGTAACAAGCTGAGACTGAAGTACTGAGGGCTGGTCTTCACTACAGGGAGATCAACACTGCTGCAATCGATGCAGCAGGGATCGATTTAATGGGTCTAGTGTAGACTGGCTAAATCGATGGCAGAGAGCTGTCTGGTTGACCCCAGCCATGTAGCTGGAGTAGTGTAACTTAGGTCGATTTATGTCCGTAGTGAAGACAAGGCCTGAGTGTTTACAAACTTTCTAGAGAGTATGCTGAATAGAGCTAGTTGGGAATTTTTGACAAAACTTTTTTTCATAGGAAAATGCTGCTTCATTGAAACTTTTCATGGAAATGTCTCAGTTTCAACTGGGGATGGGGTTGGGGTGGAAGTTTCCTGTAAATGTATGTGTGTGTGTCGGGGGGAAGGAACGGGGGTTGAGTGAGGAGAGCTAGAGACTGAGGGGTTGGGTGGTGGTTCCAGACTGGGAAGGGGAGTCCCAGTAGTTACCACTGCCATTCCTACAGCAGTTCCTCAGCAGCTGGCTATGTGTGTGCTGATGCCCTTTCCTGTCCGCCACATCCCTGGTAGCTGGTGCCTTTTGCAGACCCTGCCCCCAGCCGAGGTGCTGGAGCCCTTCTTGGTTCCCCACTCCATCCTGATGCCTGGAGCATGTATCCCTGACTCTTCCCTGGGCAGGTGTCTCAACTGGGACCTGCAGTAGTTGACAGGTGGGACCAACTTGGGAGTTCTACCTGATCTCTGGCAACTGGCCTGATCTGTGCACCACGAGCTGCTCCTGCCCATCCTCCAGGTCCCATTATCATCTCTGCCCCACTGCAAGTGGAAACAGAACATAGCCAGGTCTTGCTCCACTCTCACCTCAATGAGATGTTGTTGGGGCAGAAACAGAGATCTGCTCTCCATAGCCAAGTGGTTTGGGTAGTCACCTGGGGTGTGGGAGACCCAGCTTCAAATTGCTGCTCCAAACTTGACAGAACAGAAACTTGAACTTAGCTCTTGCACTTCCCAAGGGAGTGCTCAAACCACTTGGCTATTCTAGCATGAAAAGTTTCAAAAGGTTTTGTTTTCATCCTGCCACAGAATGAAACCAAATTTTGAAAATTCAACATTTTTTGTGAAATGGAATTCTTGTTTTCTTCAGCCCTAATGTTGAATGGCTTTTTTAAAAGAGTCATCAGCACTAGTAACAAGAAATACCCAAGTAAATCTTGATTCTACAGACCCAATAAAAGTGTTTAGCACATTTATACATGAAACAGTATTTAAAACTGTCAAGCCAATCTGTGCCCTGAAAAGTTCTTAGATATTAAGTAAACAAGTATATTGCTTCAGAGGTGCAGTTGGTCTACCAGGTCATTTAAAATTTCCCTAAATACATATTTATAAAGTAGCCATTGAAAAAAATCCATAAATATGCATTTCCTCAGCAGAGCATAACCGGTCCAAACGTGCCGTCATAGTCCAATGGGCTTTTTCCCATATACTTCTATAAAGGGTATATTTTCAATTTAAAAACCAGCATAAAAGCAGATTAACTCAATGTTATGTTTAAATAATGTTATGAGTGTGACACCAACCAACAAGAGTTAGGAAAATGGAAATTCAAAATCCTGTCTTTCAGTCCATCCTTAAAGAAAACTGTAATTGTTTAACTCAGCCCAGCAGCCTGAAAACCAAATTGCACACAGAAATATCCACTAGTTAAAGTGGATTGGAACAAGAGGGGGAGCTCTCACTGCTTCAACCAAGGAAGAGGGGGAATGAGCGCTGCACAGTCAATCCAGGGAAGATGGAGGCAGGTACCCTTCTGTTATGAAAGGAGGACTTGTGGCACCTTAGAGACTAACAAATTTATTTGAGCATAAGCTTTTGTGAGCTACAGCTCACTTCATCGGATGCATTCAGTGGAAAATACAGTGGGGAGATTTATATACACAGAGAACATGAAACAATGGGTGTTACCATACACACTGTAACGAGAGTGATCAGGTAAGGCGAGCTTTACCAGCAGGAGAGAGGGGGGTGGGGGGAGGACCTTTTGTAGTGCTAATCAAGGTGGGCCATTTCCAGCAGTTGACAAGAACATCTGAGGAACGGGGGGTGGGGGTGGGGGGGAGAAATAAACATGGGGAAATAGTTTTACTTGTGTAATGACCCATCCACTCCCAGTTTTATTCAAGCCTAAGTTAATTGTATCCAGTTTGCAAATTAATTCCAATTCAGCAGTCTCTCGTTGGAGTCTGTTTTTGAAGAATTGCCACTTTTAGGTCTGTAATCGAGTGACCAAAGAGATTGAAGTGTTCTCCGACTGGTTTTTGAATGATATAATTCTTGATGTCTGATTTGTGTCCATTTATTCTTTTACGTAAAGACTGTCCAGTTTGACCAATGTACATGGCAGAGGGTGTTAAGGAAAAGTTAGTACATGTGACTCCATTTTGGTCTGGGACCCACTATTGTTTAAATGCCAGCACATCATACACCAGGAGGAGTGATCCTTAGATACTGAATCCCTGTGAAAATCCTCCTCCTTGTCTCCAGCCTGCCTTGACTCCCAGTATCTGTTTTTTGTCAGTCTCTAACTCCCTGTCTCTTGGCCTTGATGTGAGGCCTCCCATTCTGATAATAAAAGTTACTGATGCATGGCTTTAGGACCATGCTGTGTAATTAACATACTGGTATAGCACGAGGAGTGCACCAAGCAGGGCTAGGTGGTAGATAAGACAAGGGTTTGTTTATTGGCTAAGGTTTCCGATGCACGAGGGCAACATGCTTTGCTAAAAAGTATATAACCTTTGTATAATCTGTATTCAGGGTGCCCCCCTGGCTAGCAGGGGGGCACCACGCTCGAGTGTAATAAACTTAGTGTCTTTTGGGAACTCTGCAGTTGTGGACTTTGTTTCTGTGCCTCAGCCTAGATTCGAACTGTGCATGACCTATCAGGTATAATTTGCAGCATTGGTGTGCGTGTCCTATCAGGTGTAATTCATAGCATTGGTGTGCGTGTCCTACAAGGTATAATTTGTAGCAGTTGTATGCGTGTCCTACCAGGTGTAATTCGTAACAGTTTTGGCGACCACGAAGGGACTGTAGGCTCGCCCCAACAAGCGAGACTACACTCCTCCTCTCGGACAGCTCCAGCCGGCACAGGGTGAGTTCACCTTTGAGAACTCCGAGGGGGGGGGGGGGGATGTGAGCCGTCTCTTAGGTGATAAGGTGGCACATTTTGTGTTCTTTTGGTAGCCCATTATGGGTTCTGGGCAGAGTGTAAGTAAGGGGACCCCTTTGGCTGAAATTCTCGAGAATTGGGGGAATATTTCTGGCACCCATGGATTAGGTAGGAAGAAAGCTGTTATTTTATGTAAGGTTGAGTGGCCAGCACTAACAACTCAAACATCTGTTGAATGGCCACCGGCTGGGTCCTTTGCTAGGGATACATTAACAGCGCTTAGAAGGAGGCTGGAGGACAAAGCTCCAGCCCAGATGGATTATTGGTATGTATGGGACAACTGGGCTTATGCGCATGCGAAAGGACATCCTCTTTCCTCCTCCTTTTCTTATTCATCTCAGGGGTCTCCAGCCCTGCTCTGTGCTATGCCTGCTTCTGCCCCTCCTCCGGCTTACCCTCGGCTTTCTGACTTATGCCCGTCACCTCCTTGCTTGCCAATTAGCCGTGCTTTCTGTCCAGGTGACAAGCCTCATGTGGGGAGGACTCGGGTAGCCCTTGTAAGTGAAAATATTTAAGAAAAGAGACCAGGAGGGCTGGGGGCTAGTTAAGAAGCCCACCCTCCCTGTTAATTTGGTAGTGAAACAAAGCTGGTGCTCATGGAAGGGACAGTTCAGAGAAAAAAAAAACAGGATCGGGCCCAAGCAGGCAGGCAACAGATAGAGAGATTGGAAAACAGGTTGGAAACTTGAAGGTCATAGTGAAAAAAGAGGAGTAAATAATTACAGGAATGGAAAACGTAAATCCCAGAATAATACTTGGAATGGTAAAATCTAAGTTAATGGGGTGTCGTTTTGGGAAATAAGCAAGTGATTTAAGAAAGGAAAGTAAGAAGTTAACTCCTTAGTTGCTGGAAAGAATTAAGCAGTTGAACTTTGTGAAATACTGGAAAGAAAAAGAATTCTTGGTTTCTTTGCAGCCATTTTGGAAAAAAATGGGCCCTTTTCCAAAGAAATGCAATTATACAGTGCTACTTAATTAATATCTTATTAGGTTCCAAGGGGCTACAATAGGTGGTGTCTTCCTTTTCAGGTTGCTGTGTGTTTGACAGCAGGAGTTAAAAGTAAAAGGCAATCAAAAGTCTGGTAAAGTTTATTGTGCCCTTTTTAAAGTAAGAATCTTGGACCTGTGGATCCAAAAGCAAGCCGGAAAGCATTTGTTTTAATGTAAATTACCTAAATGATAAGGTAGAGGCCACTGAAACCTGGGCTGCCTATAAAACAAATACAAGAAAATATGGGTAATTCCTCTATTTTGCCTGCAATTAACAAAGGTATTTGTTTAAAAAGGAAATATTTTAAGCAATGACTGACTGCCCAAAAGGGGTAGATCTGTGGTTTTTTTTGTCTTTCAGAAAATCAGAAAAAAATGATGCCAGCTGAAAAGCAATTCAACATCTCATGAACTTACTGGCACAATAGGAATTCTGTTCTGTGTTTTATGTCCTGTCTTGTGGTGTTTGTCTTGTGGCCAGAATTGCTGTGTTTAATTTTTCATAGGACAGTTTAGTTTAAAACTAAATAGAAGGGTTAAATCAAAATGCAGATACTTGTTTTATTCAACTTGGAATACAAAGTGTTTGAATAATATCAAAAAATGTGATATACTAAAGTTTACTACATTTGCTTAAGTAAAAAAAAAAAAAATTCATTGGCCAGATCTTTTAATTGAAAAAATTGTTGTTAAAATTTGCACACCAACAGTCTTTGGAAGCAAGGACATGAAAGGTTAACCCACTCCCCATATTATACATGAGGTCCTTCTGGCTACCTCACATTTCTAGCCAGAGGGCTGGGGAGGGAGGAAAGCTATTGGACACCCGAGGTTGTACCAAGTGGACTCCTCAAAAGTGGGTGTGCTTGTCCTGGCTTGTTGCTCCAAAGCTCTGTAATAAAGTCATTTTCCTAGAAGGGTGTATGTCGCATACATTATACAATAAGACTGAAGTGCTGTATAATGGGCAATGTACATGTGTTCCTTTTTAAACAAAGGTGTATGAGTAAAAAGGTAAAAAGTGAAAGTTTCCTTTGCAGGTTAATAAAAGCCAAAAAAGGAAAAGAAAAAAAAAAACGGAGGACGAGCTAATTCAACGCTGTAGCTGGCAGGCTCGGTCCAAAGATAAGACACTGGCTTGCCCAAGGACACTACTCAGAGCTAGGATTTGGCTAACAGCCAAGAAAGAGGGGGGCTTGAATGTGCCCAAGCAGCTGTGAGATCTGCAACACACTGCCAGACATTAATAAAATGTGTTAGGTCTCTGTATTTACAGGTGTAAGCAGAGTCAGGATGGGCTCCACCCTGACATCTGGTGGTGAGGTGTGGCAAGTTGTGGAAAAGAACTTCAGGGGCTGATCTCATTTGCATAGGCACACCCACCCCGCCTAGAATGAGGCCATAACTGCCCAAATGGTCACTTTGGCTGTTGTGGGATCCCCAGTGTCTCTGTTATTGGGGCGGGAAGAATAAATTGTTATTACCCTGATTATGGGAACTGTGCTTGGAACTGTACTTGGCCTTTTGTTATGATGGGGGGACACACCATCAACTGAGTAGCACTCGCTAGGCAAGGGACATGGGTTCCAAAACTCTGTGAATTGAGAGGGACTTGAGGCACGTATTAGTATCTGGTGGTGTGGGCCCCTTTGTGAGGGCCTGAAGCACCAATTGCACCTCTGTCTCTCTCCACTGTGGAATGTCAGAGCTAATTTTGGGTCTATTAAGAGTCTTGCTACAGGTACTGTGCTGCATTCACTTTGGCCTTATGGTGCACCAGCACTAAGGCTCCCACTACTATGAGCTGAAATCACTGAGAGCTGAAATCACTGAGCACTGTGTCAAGTAGTGGGGAGCCGGAAGATCTAGAGTGCAGCGGTGCTGTTTGTGGATAGGCTGGCAGAGTGTTCGTGAGACGGCGAGGTGAGCAGAGCTGTTCGTGAGACGGCGAGCTGTGCAGAGCGGAGCCGGTCGTGGTGGAGCGGAGCTGTTCGTGAGACAGCGGTCTGTTCGTGAGATGGCGAGCTGTGCAGAGTGGAGCCGGTCGTGGTAGAGCGGAGCCGGTCATGAGACAGCGGTGTGTTCATGAGACGGCGAGCTGAGCAGAGCTGTTCGTGAGACGGCGAGCTGTGCAGAGCGGAGCCGGTCGTGGTGGAGCGGAGCTGTTCGTGAGACGGCGTAGCAGAGCAGAGCCCTGTGGGGCAGTCAGCTTCAGGACACGTAAGGTGCCCCTTACCTCTTTCTCCCACACACAGTACACAGGCACATTTTAGCCAGACTGGGGAGTAATACTATGCAGATGAACTTTTGAACTCCGGGGCTGGACTTTTTGGACTTTGGGTGATTTGTGGATTGCTGGACTCAAGAGGCGTTTGGGTTCTGGGACTCAAGAACCTGAGGGAAAGGATGTGGCCCAATTTTCTGGGGTGGGTCTTTGCTCATGGTTTGGTTAATGAACATTAGTTGTGGTATTTCCCCAATTTAATGCTGATGTCATTACCTCATGTTATTAAAGATTCTCTGCTACACCGAGACTCTGTGCTTGTGAGAGGGGAAGTATTGCCTCTTCGAGGCGCCCAGGGGGTGTGTAAGATTTTTCCAGGTCACTGGGTGGGGGCTCGAGCCAGTTTTGCGTTTGCTTTGATGAGAGGGAACCCCTGTGTACTAAACCCGGCCCTTGCTGCTATCAACTTGGCCTGGCAGAAGGGTTACACAGGTAAAAGAAGTCCTGCTTCAAGAATCCTGAGCAAACCTGCCATTTGTTAAAACCAGGTGACTGGGTCTACATAAAGGTCCATCAACAAAAGACTACTCTGGCCCCATGCTAAAAAGGCCCTTATTAAGTCCTGCTAACTACCAACACTGCTGTGAAGTGCCAAGGACTGACTGCCTAGACCCATGCTTCTTACTGCAAAAAGACTCCTCCACCTCGAGGTGACTTCACTTCGACTACTGATCAGCCTGTCCCTCCTTCTGGGTTTTTTTTCTTTCCTCCTTTTGAACAGCAAAAAAAAAAAAAAAAACAAGGTGAAGTGCTAGTAACCTCTCCCTTGTCCACTGACAAAGCTAACCTGCATTCAGTATTTGCTAAAAAAAACCCCAAAGCACTACAGGGTGACGTGTTAGTAACCTCTCCCCTGAATAATGCAAAACCATGACTGTTCCAAAAAAAAAAAAAAAAAAAAAAAAAAGAAAGAAAAGCCTGCTCTGCTAAAACCACCAAAATCCAAGGATTCCTGACTGCAAAAAACACTGAGAATTGGCCTTGATGGCAAAGACGGAGCATTGTACATTGGCAGGGAGAAAGTTGCAGAATGTATTCTTGGGAATGTGAAGTAAAGTGGTGGAGTGGGTTTATTCCAGAGGCTGGAACCTGTGCTTGTAGGCAAGTATAAATACCAAAAACGCCTTACAGCCATGAACATTACTCCCACCATCTGCCACCACTCCTTTACAGGTAAAGGTTCCTGGATCCATCATAGCTACGTTAAGTTGGCGCTGGGACCCCCACCTGACCCAATTTCACGAATGAACACCACGACCAACCCATGGACTAAGCTTTCCAGCTACTGGGACCTTCATAGCCCACCAAGACTTTTTGTGTTCCTGTTTATTGGACTTACATTGGGGGTAGTGTTTTTTGTATGGTACAGGGGAGGATGTCGACATTGGTATGGTTTGCCTGGGGGGGTCCTCTCCCTATTCCCAAGTCCAGTACAAGGATGGGAGGGCAATAGCTTCTTGAATTTAACCCGTGCTATCAAACAGGGTGTAAATCGAACGCAGTGTTGGATTTGTATTCGTACCCCCACATATTTAGGTCAGGGGGTCCCGTTGGTAGGGGTACCTATCCCCCTTAATCGAACACTCCAAGCTAAGCTATGGGCAAACACTACATTTAACTAAAATGTTACAATCCAAATATGGTCTATTGATGTGGTGGCCCAGGGTAATTATGCTTTATGTGTGTCACTACGTAAGGGCATAGAAAATAGAGTTTTTGTAGGGAATTTGGTAGGGTGCAAGGACACCACCCAAATCAGCTCTGGTGCGAGAGGCCCCTCTACCTACTCCAGAACCCCGTGGCCGGTCCCCAAGGGGTCTGGCTGGTATTGGTTATGCAATCACACAGCCTATAAGGTTCTCCCAGCAGGATGCTGTGGTACATGTACCTTAGGGGCTATAGTACCCACCGTGACAGTACACCAGAACCTGACCCGGGGAGAGATCCGCAATCTAGTATGGAGGGACCGACAAAGTATTCCTTTAAACCCCCTTTCTTATCTGCCCAAAGGCTTTCACTCCTTTGTGCGATGGTTTCTGCCATGGCTGGGAGTAAGCGAGCTGGAAAAAGATATAGTTAACATTTCAGCTGCTTTGGAACTAATGGCAAATGCTACTGCAGATGCTCTCTCTGCCCTTCAAATTGAAGTCACCCAGCTATCCCAAACTACATTGCAAAACCGCCTAGCCCTGGATTATCTCCTTGCAAATCAGGGCGGGGTTTGTGCTCTGGTCAATTCAAGCTGTTGTGTATTTGTAAATCAGCACCATAGGGTGGAAACTGACATCCACATCCTCAAGCAACAGGCAGCCCTATTCCACCACATCAGCCTCGACACTACCAATGCCGGATTCCAGGAGGTCTGGGACTGGCTCACCTCATGGCTACCGGATGTGGGGACTTGGGGACAGCGTATTTTGTATTTACTTTTTTTGACTGTTATTGTTTTTGCATTATTTTTTGTATGCCTAAAATGCTGCAATATGTGCTGTCGGCAGTTGCTAACCCCGCAGCGTGGTTACTCAGCCCCAATATAGCTTACTGACGTACAAAAAAAAAAAGGGAGGACTGTTAAGGAAAAGTTAGCACATGTGACTCCATTTTGGTCTGGGGCCCACCATTGTTTAAATGCCAGCACATCATACACCAGGAGGAGTGATCCTTAGATACTGAATCCCTGTGAAAATCCTCCTCCTTGTCTCCAGCCTGCCTTGACTCCCAGTATCTGTTTTTTGTCAGTCTCTAACTCCCTGTCTCTTGGCCTTGATGTGAGGCCTCCCATTCTGATAATAAAAGTTACTGATGCACGGCTTTAGGACCATGCTGTGTAATTAACATACTGGTATAGCATGAGGAGTGCACCAAGCAGGGCTAGGTGGTAGATAAGACAAGGGTTTGTTTATTGGCTAAGGTTTCCGATGCACGAGGGCAACATGCTTTGCTAAAAAGTATATAACCTTTGTATAATCTGTATTCAGGGTGCCCCCCTGGCTAGCAGGGGGGCACCACGCTCGAGCGTAATAAACTTAGTGTCTTTTGGGAACTCTGCAGTTGTGGACTTTGTTTCTGTGCCTCAGCCTAGATTCGAACTGTGCATGACCTATCAGGTATAATTCGCAGCATTTGTGTGCGTGTCCTACCAGGTGTAATTCGCAGCAGTTGTGTGCGTGTCCTACCAGGTGTAATTCGTAACAAGGGGCATTGCTGGCACATGATGGCATATATCACATTGGTAGATGTGCAGGTGAACGAGCCTCTGATAGTGTGGCTGATGTGATTACATGTGGGTGTTCTGGGCCAACAGTTTACCTCTTTAAGGGATACGTGGTAGGCGCAGCACAATGTTCATAAAGCATTCTAATATTTTAGTGAGGAGGGGCAAATAAGCAGTTAGCTGCTGATGAGGATTGCTGGAATGAACAAACCAGGAACAGTTTTCTTTCAGAATGTTTTGCCATGCCTGTGGATACTGAAAGGTCCTTTTAGAGAAATGCACCTTGCTATGTGCCAGAAATGTTCCAAGTTTTAGACAGAACAAAATGAAGTTAAGAATAAATTGTCCGGGCTTAAAATTTGAGATTGCTGTTTTTTTCATTACATATTACCACCTTGGCAAAACTGTTGGGTCTGTGTTAATTATGATTCTGTACTAGTAATAAACCTTATGGTGGAAGGCTCCGATGAAAAAAATGACAGTTTCAAGGGTAAATTATTTATACAAGCTTTTATTCTCTGTTAAGTTATGGAGTGGAATCCTGGGACTTCTAAGGTCAACTTCAAAACTCTCATTAACTTCAATGGGGCTGGGATTTCACCCACTGTCTTTAATCACTACTGACTTAGGGTTGGCACAGTCCCAAACACTGGGAAGCTAAAATGGGTTTGCCACACTACAGAGGTCTTATGGAATCTCTCTGGACCAGAGGGTACAGTAACAGAGGTCCATGCAGAACTGAAAGGAATAATATTGATAACCAGGCAGTTCAGGACTTAGACTGCAAGACATTTTCAAGAGGGATGGGGATCTTCCTTTGAATTCGTACAGCACCTAGCACAATGGGGGTCGCAACTCTGGCTGTGAATTCTGGGAACTAGAACAAGAATAATTTAAAAAAAATATTTTCTAAATGAGATGCCTAGAGGTCCTTCCCTCCCCCCGCCCCCAACATACTACTGAGATCATCAGTGGGGAGAAAAAGTTTATATGTTCTGGTGACAGCTCAGAACAAACTAACTGGTGAAAAGTAGTTGCTAGCGAAGAACAGTGTCTGTTACAAAGCTGAGATTACTGAATTTATGTAGCATAATAGGGTTTTATTAGCAATCGGTATATGTTCAGCATACATGTAAAGAACAGTGTATTGTATACAAATACAATTACATAGCACAGTGTTACTTGTGATACTATATTCAGTGTCAGCAATCAGTCACATACATAATTTGTACTAAATAATTCTGAAATTAAAACTGTTCTCTGAGTCCTTTCTCTGGCTGTCAATCACAGGGAGTTTTCTTTTCCTGTCCTCTGGAGCAAGTGAGACAGGAGTTTTTATCTCTAGTTAATATCTTTCCTAATCTCCTCTCAGAGGGACTATCTGCCTCATATTGAGTAAGTAATTCAGGGTTAAAAGAATGTGTATAATAGAGATGTGACATGTTTTAATCCGTTCCTTAGGAACATGAGAATAGATTAGGAGTGTCGTTGGCAGGCCTGTCAGACACTGTAGCAAAGGGAGCTTTGCGGGAATTCACTGCTGGTAAATTGCTTATGACTTCATCAAAGCATCCAAGTTATGTTTAACTCTAAACAAGGTGTAAACAACTTATGAGCAGGTCTGTTTATTTTGGATAAAGGTTCTTCATTTGAAAGTGATGGGCAGATACTGAGTTAACAGAGAGCTGAATTCACATGTACAGTACATACATATAGATGAATAAAAGGGAGAGAATGAACACAGTGATTTGGTATATAAATTAGAGCTAATGACAAATGGCAAATTTTGATGGGCAAATTTCCCATGAATTTTTTTTGTCTTTTTGACAAAAAACAAAGGAAAATATATGACCTTCTTAGCTTTTGTAAAAACGTTCTGTTTTCAAAAAATCAAAACCCAACAATTTTACCTAAAACTGAACATTTTTACTGAGCAAATTTCAGTTTGTGGTTTCTACTTTTTTATTTCATAAAAAAAGCTTTGACAAATAAATTTCAACCAGCTCTAATAAAAATGTTATGATAGTTTCACTCCCTCTTTCTAATGTCAGCTTTTCCTGAAATCTTCTCTAACTTGCACTGGCTACCAATAGACCTAAAGCACTGATATGGCTGGCAGGGTTCAGCAAGCCATAGTGATACACAGTCCATGCCCTCTTCTCTTAGCTGTGCTGTTTATACTGTCTGAAAAACCATGAATGCTGTAAGAGTTGCTAAACTGGATCTATGCAATTAGAAGACCCTCCTACAGTGGAGTGGTCTTCTCATGATCAGCTTCAACAGCTTTCAATCCCAATGCTGTAGTGCAAAGCAGACACAGAACTGCCAGGATCTGAGCCATTCAGGATGAAATTAGGGTATTGGAATAGATATTTTGGGGGTGGGGTAAACTATTTTGAATTTAATGCAACTGAATAAGTAATAACAATTTTTCTGGGTACAGAATTTACATGTATATTGTCCAGATCATCCTCACTATTTATTGTTTGTACACATTTGAACTAATTATTTGGTCAGTTTCTTTCTTCAAAAGAGCACAAATTTCTGTGAAGAAATTCTGAAGCAGTTGCCGTGTCAAAGAAGTGTTTTGTCAAGTCTAAGTGAACAAGGACTCTACTGTGATTCCCAAAAGAGTGCTCCAAAATTAAGTTCAGTAGAATGAAAGAAAATACAAAGCAAAAATAGAAACTAACAACT